CATCTAGCTGGCTACATGTATGACATAACTGAGAGGAGAAAACATATTGTTTATAATTTTATATACAATCCATCGGAACATCAAGTCCAAAAAGGTCAAAGAAGCATTTGGGATTGTCAACCTACATATCAACAGTGAAGCATGTAAGTGAATCACAATTAGAGGAGAATGTTTTATAAAAACAATTAGAGAAGAATAAACCACATGAATACAAATTGATACGATATGTTAGCTAGGTGCAGTCCTCTTTCAGTCACACTTATGGACAAGTGCATGATCTTTGGGTTTTAACTATAACAAGAGAAGTGCAACTATGATATATAGTTGGTGATATGGTCAGGGGATAAAGAGGTCACACCGTTCACCTACCAGTCATGCATGTATGTTTATGTTCAAAAATACTCGGTCATTTATGTTTTTTTTCTAGAATATTCATGAGTGTGCGTACTATATATTAAAGAAGAGGACGGAGAAAAAACCCCTCCACGTTGACGAGTACATGTTACAAGTTACATGTGGACCAACTCCACCGATAAAACCGGAAAACTACTCTAGCCTAACTTCTCGCGTTTGCGCACCTTGCTAGCCCTCGAAAGAGAGGCTCTACATTCCCTTTTAAGATTCCAGCTTGCTCCCATGTGCATCCCTCGTCTTCAATTCGACGCACGAGCGCCCGTGAGGAGGGAGTTGCGCCGTCAAACACAACCGCGTTCCGGTGTTTTCACATCTCCCACGTAACGAGGAGTAAGATCGCCCTCACATCCTTCACTCCGGAACCAATCGTACATGTGGTGGTGCACAAATCCCTCATACTCGAGTCGTGACTTGGCGTCCACTGTGGCCTATCCAAGGCTCGACAAACGGTAGACCAAATCTCCCTCGCAAAGACGCAACCCAGAAGGAGGTGGTCAATGGTCTCCTCATGTTGTGCGCAGAAGGGGCACGTGTCGTGATGATCCAATCCACGCCTAGCGAGTCTGTCAGAAGTCTAACATCTATTGTAGGGTGATTTATGTTTTAAAAGTTTTTTTAGGTGTAATATGTTCTAAAAGTTGGGTACTCATGTCAAAATTTAAAAATTCTAGCCGCATAAAAGACGGTATCATATCATCTTTTTTACGAACACGCAAAAGGCTTGCGTGTCGATATATTAGAAGGGGAAAAACGGAATACACAGTGGTGCGAAGTTGCGCGCGCCGACATAACTACCCGTACAACGGCCGTGGCCGCAAAGGCCGGACCCAGCTCATCTAGTATCATATCAGTTTTTTTTCCGAACACTTGATATATTAGAAGGGGAAAAGCGAAATACACAGTGATGTGAAGTTGCGCGCACCGACATAACTACCCGTACAACGGCCGTGGCCGCAAGGGCCGGACCCAGCTCATCTACAATTATTCGACTATCTCTAGATCGCTTGCATAAGTCTCCCTCCATAAGTCTCCCTCCATGGCTATGCCGGCGCAAACCGGCGCAGTCGTGCTAGGGGTGCCATTGAAGGTCGTGGCATTGCGCTCGAGCCAGATCTTCCAAACCGTGAGCTAGGCTGTCAAATCCTTTGCGTGCCAGTTTGGGAAGAGCACGTCGCTCAATGCGTCGAGCTCTGGCGTGAGGTGGGCAAGATTGCAGCGGCCAAGTGTGGTTGACCATATTGCGGTAGTACCATATCATCTGTTCGCATGGGAACCACGAGATGGGCAAATTTATGGATTGGATTAATTTAGCGATTTAAACACGGCTCCCGCTTTGACTACGCGTTGCATGCACTTCGCCGGTTGAGCCAATCGCTGCCCGCCACGCGGACCACTATCCACATAGTTGACCATGCAAGACCTTTTGTTTGCAGCGAACAAGATTTTCGAGTTCAGACGGAGTACTCGCCGTCGTCGCAGGCTATATACACGCAAGCAGTGAGTGTTACCTCGATGCGCCAAACCTAGTAGCAAAGATCGATCACTGGCCATTCGTTCATGAAGCATGTTGAGCTCGATGGCCCCGTCCCGAATCATGGCGGTGCTAGCAATGCTCTTGGTCTCCCGCTTGTTCTTCGGCTCCCAAGCTTCCTCCGATGGCTTCCTCGCGTGCCTCACGGCGTCCGTGCCCGAGCAGCTCCTCTTCACCCGGAGCTCGCCGTCGTTCGCAGCGGTCCTGGTGTCCTCCGTCCGGAACCGCAGGTTCCTCACGCAGGCCACGGCGCGGCCGCTCTGCGTCGTCACGGCGACGAACGCGTCCCACGTTCAGGCTGCCGTCGTGTGCGGCCGCCGGCACGGCATCCGCCTCCGCGTGCGCAGCGGCGGGCACGACTACGAGGGCCTCTCGTTCAGGTCTGCGCGCCCCGAGACGTTCTTCGTGCTCGACCTCGCCGGCCTCCGCTCCGTGCGTGTAAGCCTTGGCATCCCGCGGGAGGAAGCGCCACCCACCGCGTGGGTGGACTCCGGCGCGACGCTCGGGGAGCTGTACCATGCTATCGGGAAGGCGAGTGACCGGCTGGCGTTCCCGGCAGGCCTGTGCCCAACGGTGGGCGTCGGCGGACATCTCAGCGGCGGCGGCTTCGGCATGCTGCTGCGCAAGCACGGCCTGGCCGCCGACCACGTCGTGGACGCCAAGCTTGTAGACGCCGAGGGGAGGATCCTGGACAGGGACGCCATGGGCCAGGACGTCTTTTGGGCCATCCGCGGCGGTGGCGGCGGCGGGAGCTTCGGAATCGTGCTGTCGTGGCGGGTGAAGCTCGTGGCCGTGCCGCCGACGGTCACCGCGTTCACGATCCCCAAGTCCGTCGAGCAAGGCGCCGTGGACATCCTCACCAAGTGGCAGGAGGTCGCGCCAGCTCTCCCCGACGACTTGTTCGTGAGGGTGCTCGTCCAACGACAAGTGGCCAAATTCCAGGCCCTGTACCTAGGCACCTGCGACGCCCTCCTGCCGGTGATGCGCCACCGCTTCCCGGAGCTCGGCGTGAATCATACGCACTGCAAGGAGATGACCTGGCTCCAGTCCGTGCCGCACGTCTACCTCGGCAGCGGCGCCACCACGGAGGACATCTTGAACCGGACCGACCCCGTGGACGCCACCTCCAGCAAGGCCACGTCCGACTACGTGCGGCATGCGATCGCAAGGGACGTGTGGGAGGAGATCTTCGCGACCTGGCTCGCGAGGCCGGACGCCGGCCTCATGATCCTAGACCCATACGGCGGGAACATGGCCCGCGTACCAGAGGCGGCAACGCCGTTTCCGCACCGCGCCGGCGTGCTGTACAACATCCAATACATGAACTTCTGGACGGCCGCCGGAGACGGCGCCGCGCAGACGGCGTGGGTCAGGGACGTCTACGCGTTCATGGAGCCGCACGTGAGCAAGAACCCGAGGGAGGCGTACGTGAACTACAGGGACCTTGACCTCGGCGAGAACGTGGTCGTGGGCAACGTCACCAGCTACGAGGCCGGCAAGATCTGGGGCGAGAAGTACTACAAGGGTAACTTCATGCGGCTCGCCATGGCCAAGCTTCAGATTGATCCCGACGACTACTTCAGGAATGAACAGAGCATCCCGCCGCTTGATGCTGATGAACAACGACTGATCACGAGGAATGTGGCGCCTAGGGGTTATGCTGATCCTATTTCGTTAAACCATTTTTACATATTTGGTAGTGTGGGTATCTGTCTTGTGTATATTCGGCGAAAATACGGTTTAAAATCGTAATTTAGCGGATGACAGACAAACAGAATATATGCATCCGATTTTATGCTCTAGTGTTTTCATTTTGGTGTCATGTAGTTTGTTGGTTGTATGTCAAACTTAAAACATACTACATCAGTTTAAAATCCGTGTCTGCTAATAATCAGTTGCCTGAAATTTGGGTCCATTCATTGCAGAGCACCCTCAGACATGGACACTGCGGCTGGCGTATCGTCGGCGGCGAGGGCCATCAGGGAACAAGCCGGAGGACGAAGCCGAGGGTGACTGAAAATCATCTTTTAGTTAATTAACTGATTAACTGAAGATTAGGCGGGCCCTTTAAAATCCTGCTTTGCCTGATAGACATATCTGTTGTCACATATAAACAAAGAACACTCTGAGAATGGTTTCCCGATTTCAGAAATGGACTGAAGTGTGTAAAGATGGAGCCAGAACCCAGGAGGCTTTAAGCATCAGCAGAAAAAGAAAAGGGGATCGGCATATCCATAGCCATGATTTGAGATTAGCCGGAATGATCGGTTTTATATTTTGCATTGCCGGAAAGATCATCTCCGTGTTCTCTCAAAATAAGGAACCATTAGTTTGTGCATACACGGGGTCCTTGTGAGCTATTTTGTAATTACGGCTCATGCTTTGGTGGGACAAAAAGAAAGGGTCATACCCAATGTCCGATTCAACAATGCATGATGCACCCGCATTTGAACATGCGTGCTTTAAAAGTACTCCCAAAGAACTCCTAATGGTAAGAGGAGGATTATAGTAATAGACACGAGTAGTGTCTCCTTTCTTTGCGCATAACATAAATAACCATATTTTGTTTTCTGAAGGTGCACACAGTCCAACCATATCCATCTCTAATTTTTTTTCTTCAGATTTCCTATAAATCATATGTAGGTTCAAAGTCTGACAAGATGCATTCGAGTGAGGCGTGCCGCACACTATGGTCTTTTTTGGCAGATAAGCAAAAGGCTTGTGTATCATTTCATTAATAGAAAGAGTTTAGAAAAAGTACGTGGGCAAGGGGGAGCACCGCACGGAGCGTGTACACACAAGGGCACGTCCACAAATCTGGGAGCTCCTAATCGGCGCAGTCGGCGCCTTCTGCGCCAGTTAGGAGTTGTGGCGCCTACTACGTTTCTTTGTGGGCTGATTCTACGAAGCCCAGTTAGAGTTCGCTAAACTATTTCGACCGTTCGCTTGTGAAGTTGATCGCTAGACTGTTTCTTTTTCTTAGCCCTAAAAAAAAGACTGTTACTTTTTTCTTTTACGGGAACGCTAGACTGTTTCTCTGATCGCTAGACCAGTACAGAAAGAAAAATTGTTTCTATCAATGTTTAAACTGATCCAGGGACTTTTTTCAAATGATTTTTTCTTTACCATAATGTTAGGGCAGTGGAAAAGCTTTTTTCGTGATTTTTTTGTGAATTAAAAAAAGTTCAAAAATTGAAAAGATAGAAACATATGAAGGGATGAATATATGTATTTGTGAACAAAAGTTTTCAAAAAGATAGACAAATTTCTATTGGTTGAACTAATAATTTGGAAAAATAGGTGCAGTGTTTCGATGACTAATTTTTTGAAAGGGTGAATTTTTTTTGAATTAGGTGACTATTTTTTTTATAATGAAGTACTTTCTAATTGGGTGACTAAATTTTAAAATGAGTGAACTGAATTAGAAATGCCTGACTAATTTAAAAAATGTGTGAACTATATTTCAATTATGTGAACTATATTTGTATTTAGTGAAATAATTTCGAAATGGGTGAACAATTTTCTTGAAAACGGGTCAGTTAAATTTGTATTTAGTTAACTATATTTGAAAATGGATGTATACAATTCGTATTGGGTGAACTAAATTTGAAAGTGAAATAAATTTACAATGACTAATTTTGAAATTGTTTGAACTAAATTTGAATTTTTTTGTGAACTAACTTTGAAAATAGGTGAACTAAATTTAAATTTGGTTAACAAATATTTGTATTGTGAACTAATTTGGAGAAAATGTGAACAAAATTAGTATTACATGAACCTATTTTGGGTGAGCGAAAGTTCTATGGGGTGAACTAAATTTGAAAATGGCTGAAATAATTTTAAATTAGGTGATCTATATTTGTATTTGTGAACTAATTTTGAAAATTTGAACAAAAAAGACAAACTAATTTACCAAAAAAGGCTTTCGCCCCGCTTTACATATAAAGCAAACCACCAGCGCCACGGAGAAATTCCTTGCATATGGTTGCTCCACTGTTTCACTATATTTTTTGTTAAAAAATATGTAGTTGCTTATTAGAAAAATGACTATCTTTAGTATAGTTAAGATAAGCGAACAGAGAAGGAAACATGGAATGTTTAGTACAGCAGAACAAAATTGCCTGTTAGAAACTTTGAATATTCCTTTTCTTCTAAACGTGAACTATGTTTTTCAAAAACTAAACAAATTTCGAAATTCGAATACTTTTTTTTTGTACTGTGAACAATTTTTAGAAAGCAAATTTAGAATGCACATTGAACATTTTCTTAGTATAGGGTGAACATTATTCAAAGAAACACTGGAAAAAAATACGCTGAACTTTTTTTGAATACATGCTGAAAAAAAATTCTCTACACGATGAACATTTTTAATACACACTGAACATTTTTTCAATGTATGGTGAACAATATTCAAATACACATAGAACTTTTTTTAAATACGATGAACTCCGTTTGAGTGCATGCTGAACAAAATTTCTATAAATGATGAACATTTTTTTATACACACTGAACATTTTTTCAATGTATGGTGAACATTTTTCTTCAATACGGTGAACAAAAAGTTCATCAAATTTGAAAAATAATTCATCGAATTTGAAAAAAAGTTCACCGAATTCGAAAAAAAGTTCACCAAATTTTAAAAGTAGTTCATCCAATTTGAAAAAGTTCACCATGTTTGATTTTTTTTATCAAATTTCAAAATAAAAGTTCATTGAATTTGATAAAAGTTCATCAACTTTGAAAAAAAAAGTTCATCGAATTGGGAAAAAGTTCACAAATTTGAAGAGAATGTTCATGTATTTAGAAAAAATGAAAAATATATTTAACAAAAGAAAAAAACAGTTCTAAGAAAAACAAAAAACGAAAAACGAAAAAAGAAAAGAAAAAAAACTAAACGAAACTCTTCCAAGAAAAAATAAAAAAAGCGAAAAAGAAACAAGAAAGAAGAAAAGAAGTAAAAAACTGATGAGAGACGCAAAAGGTGCGGTGGCTGCGGTGGTTAGCGTAGTATGCATATGACCAGCAAGTCACGGTTCGCTTCCCATCGCGCTCGTTGTAATTTTGCTCCTTAATAAAGAGGTGGGAAAAAATGAAATGAGCCGGCCCGCGTGGAGAAGGGGGTGTGCGCCCGTTTGCCCTAACACCTAAAACAGAATTGCTAACTCAAATCACAAGGGCGTGTATACTGATCCTTTTTGGGTCGGCCTTGGCCCTATAAATACTCTCTCTCTCTCTCT